TGCCTCTAGGAGGCTCTCCACTCCTCAGGCTATGGACCGCCCCCTTGTGGCTGGCTAAGTCCCCCTAGATGAACAAACACACCAGATCTCGTTCATCCATTGTGAACATGAGCTTTCTCCTGTGTCAGCTCATCTACTCAATGTGTTATCTTGGGACGATGTTTGGTCTCCACCCAGTGACTCTACTAGAGTAGACCTGAGCTTGGTTGGACCTTGGGCCGTGTCTTCTCATGTGCTGTTGCTTCATCTTCTTGCGTTTCCGAACAGACCAGCTGAGAAGAAGCTTTGGTCTTGAGGAAACAAGTCAAGGGAGATGCGCAAAGCACCACCACAGTCACCTGTGGCTTAGCTAGAGGCCACGGAGTGTGAAGGTGAGGTAGTAAATGGCCACAATCAGACAGGTATGACATTTTCATGTAGAATCCTAGATTGTGAGGGGCCTTGGGGGTCTTCTAATCCAACCCCTGCCCACGGCAGGACAGCTTATCTCATCTTGGACAAAGAGTTGTCAAATCTTTTCTTGAAACCTTCAAAAAACAATATTTTTCTTGAACAATATAGAGCAGGCATCGGAGTTTCTGGCAGCCTTACTATCTGGTCTGGTCTGTCTTTGTAAAACGTGGCCCACATTGTGAATGAGGATATTTCTACCGCCAGTTGTGTTCCGAATATATCTCCTCTAGAGCCAAGCACCTTCTGAAATACTCTGGTGTCCACATGGGATATTCAGCCACAGAAGAGACCTCCACTTTTGCCTCTGTTGTTGACGATGTCCTTCGTCACGGAGAAGAAATGCAGTTCTGGATTCAGCAGGGAGGACAAGAGGAGGAAGTCCTTTGGGGTTCTACATTCAGCTGAAGATGTTCCTAAGTTCTCAATCTACCCTATGTTAGAAAACCATCTTGAGACGGATCCTTCTTTCTCAGCATCTCACATCTGACTGTCAACAGAGACAGAAGCCTTCAAAAGAGACAGCTGCTGGTGGTGGCGTTCTCCAAGCTTGTTGCTCAGTTTCCAAACGTTTCGTCACCAGGCTAGGTAACGTTATTGCTGGAATACCGGTTGAAGTGTCTTATTTCTTCTGCTTTTAAAGGTCTTACATGGTCGACTGGTCACGGCTGTGGTAAGGGTCGTCTGGTGGAGAGGTCACAGACAGCTCTTTGGTTTACGACAAAGACCTGCCTTTCATTTGACTCCTTCCAGATTGCTGTGATTTTCCTGGATTGCAAAGCTGTCGGGAAGATTGTGATCCTGGGGAAGAACTGTGCCAAGCCCCCACCTTCATTGCCAGGAATTATTTGGGAGTGAGCAGGTCAAGAGGAGCCCTTGTAGGACCTCAGTTCACCAACACCTCCAGTATGCAGAGGGTTTTCCGTTCGTGCTATTCTTCATTCTGCTTGACCACTGCTTAGCCAAACCTCAGTCTTTGCCATGACTGAGAAGGGTTTTCTCCTCCAACCAAACCCGGGGCTCTTGGGAATGGCCCTTGCCACCAAGAGGGCCAAGAATGTCTCTGCCCGGCCAACTAAGAATGGCTGGTTCTGCAGAGCAGTCTTCAAAACGGGGTCAGCCTTATGCCATGGCTCCCAGCCTCAGAAACGAAAGACCCAGGCGCAGATGAAAGGAAGCTTTGGTAAGAAATGGGCCCCCCTCAGCTGCAAGACACACACCGGCATCCATCCCAAGCCAACCAGAGTCCAACACCTGCCCCCCTCCCCCCAGGAGAGACGCCTTCGGTGCCTGTTGAAGAACAAAGAGCCATCTTGACCACGTTCATTGAAGGACTGCCGCCCAGGGAATGCATCCTTTGCTCTGCCGTGGACCTGGGTCGCTCTTCGTGGTCCAGGGAGAGAAGCCAACTAATGAATCCCTTGTTGAGCACCATCCAGAGCTGTGAGCTGTTGGCGGGCCCTAAAATGTCTGCTAATGTGACTGCCAGCTAAAGAGCCTTTCCTCTTGAAGGCATCTGGCGTAGCTTCCTGGAGACCCTCCTCTCAACATTGCCATTTCTCCCTTTCCTGACTTTTCGTGTTGTGGAAAGTGACGTATTTTTTCACTTGCCTTTCCAGGCAAATGCACAAATATTTTAACGCAAAGTCCTTGAAGCAGAGATAGATCTCACTCAATCTATTATAGGGGGGCACAACTGTCTCTCTGTCATTGATGACAATGGACTAATTCATTTGAAGATTATGAAAACACTCTGAGCCGAAAATGCTGAAGATTTCCATATGCAACGCTCTTGTTTTCTGGCTGGGGGACAAGGCTGGGCCACCTCCAGCTTCTGCTTGCAGCAGGAAAGGGATGGGGCAGAAGACCTGGGCCTTTGGGCCTCGCCCCAGCCCACTGGGGTCTTCTGCCTTATGGAACCTGCAGAGCCAGATAAGATTCGGCCAAGTGGCAGACGGGTCATCAGACGGTGTCATCCCGTGCCAAACCAGAGGCATCCCAGAGGCTCACAAGCTTCCACCCTGGAAGGCCACACTGACCTCTTCCTGCAGCTGTCAGGAAATTCAAGGCAGGCCAAAGTAGGAAACCAAATTGTGAATGCTGATAATACTTTTATTCTAAGGTTATAGTGACAGAAACTTGCAAGTATAGAGGTGCGTCCCCACGTCCTTTATCTCCGTGAGAATTGAGGAGTGTCTTGTCTGAGACACCCCAGGTCGGCCCATGACTCAGGTTTCTTTTATCTGACCGTTGTCTCGGTAGCAGCCCATCCTCCTGTCCCCCAATGCCACACATCAGGGGTTTTTGAAGACGAGTGGCCGTGATGCTTCTCTAGGACTGTCGCTTTTTGTAAAGTTTGGAAAACTGGAGGCCATCGTCATGTCTGAAGGTCACTTGTTGATCAAGAGGAAAGCTGGTCTCATGAAGAGCTTGGTTTCATTGCCAGGACAAAATGCACAGGGTGCAGTTCATCACGAGGAGGAGATGCCCGTGTCCCCATCCTGGGCAGCCCAGTTCCTCAGAAGCTGTTGCTAGTCACTTCATCCTGCGTCCTTCCTGCACATGAAGAGAAGCCGGTGTCCAGGGCAGGCAAACCGAGCAAAGTCCACGACATTTTTGTAAACATCCTATCAGACATCAGGAACACAACTCTGCTGTCTCCCTAAGGCCTCAGTCCAGGTCGTTCATCGACACTTGAGGGTCCTAGTCCTCAAGATTCTGCTTGGCTGCTGCTGTTCATGTGCAAGAGAAGATTCCTCCCACCTGCTCAGTCTCCTTCGGTGCATTTTAAGCAGTTCCCATCCACCCTTTGGTGGCAGTTCCACCTTCTCACCAGGGACCGGAAGCACCAGGGGAGTTGCCAACCGCCAGGCCTTTTCTATGTCAACTCACAGAATTCAAACATTCAGAATAGAGCTGGAAGGGACCTTGGAGGTCTTCTAGTCCAACCCCCTGCCGACACAGGAAACATATCATTTCAGACAAATGGCTGCCAGTCTTTTCTTAAAGGCCTCCAGTGATGGAGCACCCACAGTTTCTGGAGGCAAGGCGTTCCACTGGTTAATTGTCCTCCAGGTGCCTTGAGCAATGTCGGCTGCCCAAGTCCTGCCCCTCTGCCTTGCAGCCCTCCGGCCCCCGAAACGGGACAGGCCACTGATCTTTTCCCCCTGATGTGCTGGAGACGGGTTCCAGGCAAGATGGCCGGGAAGGAAAGGGGCTTTCCAGTGCAGGCGATGAGTAGAGGCTTCCTGGGTCAAAGGAAAATCCAGAAGGATGGACTCTGAAAGGTCACCTCCCTGGTCAGCAAAAGCAGCAGGCCAAACACAACCCCAACTCCTTATTCACTGCTTGTGCTCACAACAGTGGAAAAGGGGGGCTAAGAAAAGAGCCTTTGGGCTGAACCGTTTCACTTTGAGCGCCACACTTGCCAGGCAAAGGAGCCAGAAGGAGAAGTTCCCTTGCTGCTCCTCACCTGTTCTCACCAGATTTATTCACCTCTCTTGAGAATTGCCAGATAAGCCCTCCAGGGATTGGGCAGGGGGGGGAGGAGAGTGCTGGGTCTCTTTTGCCCCCTCCTCTGCAGGGATTCCAAGCTAGACACTCTCTTTCACTCCACCACCACCATCCCGCACACACTTCCGCTACAGATGCCACCACCCTGTTTAACAGAAAGCTAGCTTTCAGTCCCCTTTGGTTTTCTACAGGGAGATAGCCTACCTCAGGGGTCTTCTGGCCACCTGAAGGCTTGTAGACTTCAACTCCCAGAATTCCCCAGCCAGCGTGCATCCCAGCAGGTCTGGGAGTTGAAGTCCATAAGTCTGAAAAGTGGCCAAGTTTGGAGACCCCTGGTCTGTGCATTGAGGAACACAATCTGCTCTCAGAAAGGCTGGCTCTCCCAGTACTTCCCTTGGTCTACTCTGAGCAAAGCTCCAGCGGGTCTCCCAGAGTCCTGGGGGTTTCCAGAGTTGGTGAAAAACACCCGCATGAAGGTAGCCAGTCCTCCTCCCAGGCAAGCGAATTCTCACAGCGTCTGAAGCTGAGCCATGGAGCCTTAAGAGAATAACAGAGTTGGAAGGGACCTTGGAGGTCGTCTAGCCCACCCCCCTGCTCAAGCAGAAAGTCCTATACCATTTTAGACGAAGGCCCCTGGAGCTCCCCAGGATAGATTTTTCTCTGCCCAGAGATCCTGCTCCCCCCCCCAGCTCCACCCCTGCTGCAGGGAAAGGTCGTGGACCTCGGGAATGAAAGACTGAGGGGGTCTTAGGGGGTTAATGCTCCCTTTGGAAAGCTGGAGGGGAGGGTCAGTTCCTGGTTGTGTCAGCCACCCAACCAGCTTGCAGTGTGTCTGGGAGGGAAAGTCTGCCAGCAGGACCCCCGTGGAAGAGCTCAGGGAGGGGTGCTTGGCAGGGGTGCCTCCCCTGTGGGGTCTGCAGAATCTGTGGCCTTGCTGGTTGTGTGGGGAACGTGTGTGTGTGTGTGTGTGCGTCTGTTTTGTGTCTGGGCGCCTCTCTCACCACTGCTCTTCCCTCTGTCTCTCTCTGTCTTCACAGACTTTTCAGTAGTTTAGGAGAACTAAGCACCATTTCCCAGCGCAGCTCCGGCACCACCTACACCGTGCGTCCTGGCAGCCGCTACCCTGTGACCCGCCGCACTCCCAGTCCGGTAAAGCCTGCCCTGGATAGGACAGACCCCCTGAGCACCGTCCGGCCCTACGGGCTCACCCCGCCCACCATCCTCAAATCTTCCAGCCTCTCCATCCCACACGAACCCAAGGAGGTACGCTTCGTGGTGCGCAGCGTCAGTGCCCGGAGCCGCTCCCCCTCCCCTTCCCCGGGGCCCCCCCTGCACCCCCTCCACCCCCCGCGGCCCTTCATGCAGAAGCCCCTCCAGCTCTGGAACAAATACGACGTGGGGGACTGGCTGGAGAGCATTAACCTGGTGGAGCACCGAGACAAATTTGAGGACAATGAAATTGAGGGCACCCACCTGCCCGCCTTGACCAAGGAGGACTTTGTGGAGCTGGGGGTGACGCGGGTGGGGCACCGCATGAACATTGAGCGGGCACTCAAGCAGCTGGCAGACAGTTGACCGTCCCGGCATCCCGGGCTCCTCCCGGGGCCGTGTCACTCAGGGGCAGGCGGGGCCGTTCCTGCTAGGCCAGTAGACAGGAGCCCACCGGATGCTCTTCCTGTCCTGCTCCGACTGCTGCACTGAAAGACGGGGGGGTCGGCAGGTAGGCAGGCACCTCCTCTCCCTCCCACCCCACAGGGCCCCGGGCACCCTGGTGCAGACTCCCTCCCTCGGGAACAGGCACGGACTACAGAAACTCACCCTCCCCAAGAGAGTCACTGCAGGACAGGCGGTTCTGGGGAAGGAGAGGCGCTCCCCTCTTGGAGAACACCCCGCCAGCATGTCCTGCCCATGTGGAGTGCCTGGCATGGGCCCCGAGTGGAGGTCAGAGGGGCGAAGTGTTAAGATGGGAAGGGGGTCCTTGTGCTGGGGTTGCACGGCTCCAGCCGGGCCTTAACACCGGCCAGTGGGGGCTTTGGGGGGAGGGGCTCGGTGCGTTGGCCGCAGGGAGCTTCGCTGGCACCCAAGCGCCGGAGGAATTCTCTCTGTGAAGGTCAGCAGGAGCTCCTAAGAGAGGTCAAGGGGCAGAAGTGGGAACAGCGGTCAGTAGGGCCCCCATCCATCCCAGTTCCTGCCCCCACCCGCCCCCGCAGCCCTGGACCCTGGCCCTGCCCCACAAGGACCCAGCAGGGCCAGGAGGAGGAGAAGACCAGGAGAGGCACCCCCACGGAGCCTGTTGCCTGTGCCCTACTGGCACGCGAGTGAGCCGATGTCGCATGGACCGAAGCATGCTTGGGGCGCAAAGAGAGGCGAAGGGTGGATCCGGCTGCTTGGCCAGCCTTCGTGGGGAGGGGGGAGGCCTCATTTGGCTCTGGGGGTGCGGGACACGTCGAAGGGGGGTCTCTTAATCTCTCTGCATTTCTGTAGGTTTGGTGATCCCAAGGAGAGGATGCCCAACAGCAGGATCCCACCCCCTCTCTGTCCTAGTCACTTATTTTTGCATCTTTTTAATCAGCTATATATTTGAAAAGGGGAAAAAAAGAACAAATATCTATATATCTATATCTATAGCCACTTTGTTTAGTTACGGTTGACTGAAGCTCTATCTTGCTGGGGGGGGAAGGGAGGGCCTGGGGGCTCCTTCCTGCAATGCTTGTGGGAGTTTTTAGTGACTGAACGAATGTGGGGGGAAAGACAGAATCCTTTTAAAGTTCCTTTTAGATGTTCTGAATTTTAAAGATTTGGGGAGGAACAACACAAAAGAAGGCAACATTGCACTGGCTTCTTGGGAACGTGTGAAGTCTTCCATTCTTGCTGGACAGACCCTGACCGGAATAGCTGCTTTCCCCCTTTGACAAACACACACACACACACACACACACACACACACAAAATTGTCTTTCGCTTGCTCAAGCTTTCATGGGAAAAAGCAGACTGGAAGGAACCTTTAGCCTTCCTTGGGGGAGGCTGAGCCAGGTGAGATGCTGTGCTTGGAAGGAGCCCCCTCCTCCCCCACCCCCTTGTGGCCACTCCCCAGACCCAGAGGGCTCCCAGGCCTGGGACTCTGGAGCAGGTTGTGGGAAAGAGACAGGTGCCAGATACCTCCGAGGGTCAGAGCAGGAGCCTCTGTCTAGGGCAGCCCAGCCAGTTCCTTTGCAAGGTCACTAAATTTTCTGGTGCTAGAGGGAAGAGGAGGGGGACCCTCACACCCCCACAGATGCCCAGCCTTTGCCAGCTCCCCCCCCCCCATTTTAAACAAATCGCCAACAGAAACCTGCTTCCTACCAAGGGCCCTTCCAGGCTTCTGCCTGGCGAGCGCAAGGTTTCTTCCCCCAAGGGGGCTGCCAGCTTGAAGGCCCAAGAAAATCCCAGACGGGGGGGGCAGCGTAGCTGGGGGGGCTGCTCTCTTCAGGCCTCCCCCATCCATTGACCTGCAATGCCCAGAAGTCACCAGACCTTTCTGCCATTCCTCTCAGCCCCCCCCCCCATTCTCCCAGAATTGATCCCCCTTAGGGAAGTGCGAGAGAGGGGCCAGGCCCCTCCCTGGACAGGCATCCACCCTGGTGGCACCACCCCATTTTAAATCTTCCCAGTCACAGGAGGAGTAGGAAAACCAGCCATGTTCCAATTCCAAAATTTCAAGAAGACCCAACATCCCAGGGACGCCTAGCAAAGCGTGAAAAACTTGTTTGGGTTTATCATTTAAAAGGCCCGTTTTAAAGCAGCGAATGTCACCCACAAATTCTGTGATAAGCCGTTTTAAACGAAGCAAATGCAGGGGCAGCTCCACACCTGGTGCTCTCCAACTGTGTCAGGCTGCAATTCCCATCAGCCCCGGCTACTGTGGTGTGTTGGGGGCAGCTTCCTGAGACAGCCTCTCAGAAAGCACAAACCCCACTGGGGACCTCGTGCACCCCCCATCAGCTGCGCACACCAGCCCTTGGCATCTTTTGCAGAATAACAGAGTTAAAAGGAACCTCTTAAGGCAGTGGTTCTCAACCTATGGGTCACGACCCCATTTGGGGTCGATCGACCATTTCACGGGGGTCGCCAAACAAGGCTGTCCGCCATTTTTTCCCCCTTTGGCCACACCCCTGGCACCCGGTGATGTATAAGTGGTTGGGGGTCACCACAACATGGGGAACTGTATTATGGGGTCGCGGCATTAGAAAGGTTGAGAACCACTGCCTTAAGGTCTTCTAGTCCAACCCGCTGCTCAACCAGGAGACCCTCTACCATTTCAGACCAGCGGCTGTCTGGCTCTTCTTAAAAAGTCCTTTTATCCCACTTTTACAAAGGGGGCCAGGAAAGACCCTTTTCTAGAGGGGGCTTTCCTGGCCGGAAAAAGCGCAAGGACCCTGGAAGCCTCTCCCGGCCCTTTGAAAGGGGCCCCTCTGGGTCCTTCGTTCTGGGCTGCCTCCAGGCTTCAGGAGTCCCAAAGGGGCCATGATTGACCGGCCTTTCTCCCCCTCCCCCATCTTTAAGCATTGCTCCACGGGCCCAACCCAGCACACTGGTTCTCCCCCCTCCGGGAGAGCCCCTCGTGTGGGGAAGGGCTGCGTAGTTCCCCCCCCCCCCCCAAGAGCAGATGCCAAAGAAGGAAAATGCAAATAGCAAAGACTTGTTCCGTTTTGATGCCAAAGCCAGGCAAGATCAAACCGGGGGGGGGGGGGTCCATGAGACCCCTCATAAAAGACAGCAAATCCCACCTGGATTTCAAAAGGTTTTTTAAGTGCTCAGGAGGAGGATGTTTCTGCCCCTCTCCAGAGGGGGGGGTTCTCTAACCCTCCTCTTTGGGGGGGTCTCGGTGGCCCAAAGAAACATGTAACCCTCCTCCCTGGCGGCCTTGGTTCATCGGGGCTGGCGCAAGGGGGGGACAGCAAGCGAGGGCGCCCCCCTCAAGCTCCGACACGGAATGGCCCCTAGCCGCCCCCCCCGCCGCGTTTTCATCCCACGGCCAGGGAAGTTCATCAGGCTGCCTAAGGCCCGCGCCCACGTGCGGCAGGCGCTTTCTCCGCTCCACGTTCCGTGGATTCGGTGTCTCCGTCCCTTTCGCGGCTGTTTCTGGGACCAGAGGAGACGCGTCTGCCCACCCGCCTGCCCGGCCTCCTCCCCGTGGAGGCCCGAAGACTGCAGACCCCCCCCCTTTGTTCTCCCCCCTCCCTCGTCTGCAGGAAGTTCACTTCGGGACTGGGACCGCTGGACGCCTCCTTTTGATCGGGGAGCCCCCCTCCCCGGCGCTTGGCTCCCCTCCCCTCGAGGGGCGCAGGAGATGCTTTTGCTCTCCTGCCAATCAAGGAGGCCCACGCAGCCCCCCCCCCGCCTGGGGGGGGCCGACCAGCCCCTCCCACTAAGCAGCTGCAGCCGTAACTGTGTTTGGAAACACTGCGTGACGCCCCCAGTGCGCCCCGGAGGCCTCGGCTGACCGGAGCGGGGCCACCACGGCTAAGTCCCGACGGCAGGCATCCCACGAGGGCCCGCGGAGCCCGACCCACTCCTGATGCTGAGGCGCCCCCTTGGCCCCCTGGTCAGTGCAGCCTGAGACCCCAGACCTCCCAAGGGCCGTTCGAGCCTCTTCCCGCTGGCAGAATCCCTCCTCTTCCCCCGCCCAGCTCAGCCAGCCCCCCCCCCATAAAGGCCAGTGCTAGAAATACAGGCAAAAGCCCAACCCTGCCAGCCCCCCCCACTTTTGAGCCCCCCCCTCTCCCCGTAATGGGTGGGGGGCCAGGGACTGCGCAGCGAGGCCGCCTAACCTTCATGGACCGCCGTGTGCGGAGGGTTGTGTGCAAAGCTGCCTCCCAACAAGCCGGGAGAAATGCAGCCCGTGCTTCTCATTCCCCGCGGGGAGACGCGCCCCTCTTCGCGAGCCCCTCTTCCATCAGACGGAGGCTCCGTCCGTGCAGCGGGCCGGGGCTGGGAAGCCTGCCCCCAGTCCGAGCGCACGGGGGGGATCCGTGTGGGCCGCGGAGACCCCTGAGCCGAGAGCCCAGCGGCACGGGGAAGCGTCCCCACAGCAGGGTCAGAACAGGCGGGGGGCCGCGCCAGGCGGCTGAGCGTGGATTGCGCCCCCACGGTTGGCCCGGAGCCGCACCCGGAGGGCTCCCTGCCGGCCTGCAGAGAGAGGATTGGAAGCCCGACATGCTCGGAGGGCACCAGGTTGGGGAAGGTGGTCCTCCAGGGAAACGGCCAATGTACTCTTGTGCCAGATAGGGTGGAAACGACCCCCTTGACCCTCCCCCAGGCTTTCCAAAATAACAAAAATAGCCCCACTGGATGTCCCACAGCTTGGTGGGGAGTCTGCAGCAGGCGAGGACCTTCCCAGTCGCTCCCCCAAAGGGGAAGATGGCCAAAGCAGACCAGACCGACCCCCTCCCACCCCCACCGGGCCCCCAGCAAGAGGCAGGAAAGGTCCCCGCTTTGATCCGGCACTTCGGTCCTTAAACATAAATTCAAAGAATTGGCGGCACAGCGCAGGGAAAGGGCCGGGAGAAGCCGCCACCGTTGAGGGCACAGCCACAGCTGTCCACGGAAAAGCCACCGCATCCTCTTCCTCGGGGTTCAGCTTTGCAAGGGGACGGGACCCCCACCACAAGGGTCACCTGGAGGACCCTGGAAGGGGAGGCAGCAGGGAAGAAGGCCTCCGCTGCTTGTCCAGCCAGCTGCTGGCTCACCCCTTCGTGAAAACGCTTCCTTCCCCCACAGCACCCCAGACCCCAGTGCGAGTCACGTCCCGCTTGGCACGCTCCCTTGTCCGCTTCTGCCTTCGCTTCCCTGGCTGCCACAGGAGGCCGGGCGATGGCTGCCCTCCTCTCCTGCCTCGCTTCAACTGGCTGCTTGGCAAGAAGGACCCGCTTGTGCCCCTCTCGGCGTCCCTGGCCTTGGCATCCGGGCCGCCGACCCTCCCAGCTGGAGCAAAGCATGCCGCTTGCATGCGCCAGCCTGCCCGTCCCTGGTTCGGATCGCACCCAGTTGCCCTCCGCCCGCCCTCAAGGCCCTCCCAGCAAACCTCTTCCTCCACTCCCAGAGCCATCCCAGAGAAGGCCGGTGGGGCTCCTGGGAGGGGGGAGTCCTCCTGAGACCCTCCCCACCAGGCGTGAGCCTCAGCTGCCCCGGAGCGACTGTGATTTTTCTCATGGCTTCTCAATGACTTTTGTTACCTGCTGGGTAAAGTTGGGTCACGAGGTTTTGCTTTGGGGTTTTCTTAGGGTTGGCTGGTTTTTCATTGGGGTCTTTAATTCCCCCCCCCCCCGAGACACCCATTCGCCTCTCCAGGCTTTGGAAACAGGCAGGGACCTCTGTCCCCCCCCCAAAGGGCCAGGAGCTCCAGCAGGGCTCCCGGCTCTGCGTCCCAGGACAAAACGCACACGGACGAGGCCCGCGGTCTCAACCCCCATCTCTCCCCGCCCCACGCCCCCCCCCCACTCTGCTGCTGCCCCCCCTTGGTTTGGCTGAAGGTTTATTAATTGACAGGGTCAGTTTGACATCACCCCTTATTTTATACCGATTTCCTGAGGAAGTCCAGTCTTCTGCAGAATAAGGGAGGCCTGGCCAACTCACCTCCTGACCCGATGTTGTGATAACACCCCCCCCACACACAAACAGAGATCTATGTTTCTTATATTATTATTATTATTACTATTATTATTATTATGTAATAAATTTATAAGAAAGCGCTGGGCTGTTGTTTAGTTATTGGCACGATTGGGAGGCGGGGTCAGCCTTGCCTCAACTTGGGCTCCTAAGTAAGAACGGTCCTGAGGTCCAGTTCTTGAGAAAGGTGTATTTTACTATCAGGCAAGTGAATTACAGCAGCGAGGAGCCAAAACTGAGAGTTCGGGCCAGACTTTTGCCAGCTTCACTTTCCTCCCCTGGCCCCTCCCCGTGGGGTGCCTCTCCTGGCCCAGTCAGATTCGAAAGGGTCACTCTGCGTGGTGCCTCCCCCTCCCAGGCAGCCCTAAGGTGGAGGCCCCCTGCATGGGTATCCATGCTTTGCCCTGCACGGCTGCAGTTCAAAGGCACTGCTAAGCGAGGGCCGTGGGGAGCCAGCCAGCCTTGCCTGCGCGTTGGGACTCTCTTGGCACAGCCGGGCCCAGGTCATGGTGCCCTCCCTGTGTCTCCACGACTCCGACCTGCGAGGCCTTGTGCCTGGCCATTTCCAGACATGCCGGAGGAGGCTGAGTTCTGCCGTCTGGCCATTTTGGGTCATTGAGCCGAGGTGGTGCAGCAGTTAGGGTGCAGTACTGCAGGCCACTTTAGCTGACTGTGTTCAGCAGGTCAGCAGTTCAAATCTCACCGGCTCAAGGTTGACTCAGCCTTCCATCCTTCCGGGGTAGGTAAAATGAGGACCCAGATTGTGGGGGGCAATGTATATATATATATATACATTGCTTACTGGTGTACACCGCTTAGAGAGTGCTTGCACTTAAAGCGGTATATAAGTCTCATAAATAAATAATAAATAAATAATTCAGAAGCTCCCTAGGCTGGCCTGTTGAAGGCGTGTCCAGCCCCTGCTCAGGCAGGAGACCCTACGCCATTTCAGACAAGTGGCTGTCCAGTCTCTTCTTCAAAATAGCCCATGATGGAGCACCCCCAACCTCTGGAGGCAACTTCTGTTCCGCTGGTTAATTGTCCTCCCTGTCAGGAAACTTCTAATTCTCAGTTGGATTTCTCCTTGATTATTTTCCATTGTTTCTTGACCTGTCCTCTGGTGCTCTGGAAAATAGGCTGAACCCCCCCCCCTTCTTTGTGGCAGCCCCTCAAATAGTGGAAGACTGCTATCCTGTGTCATTTCCCCCCCCCCCCCCGGTCCTTCTTTTCTCTAGACTGGCCATACCCAGGTCCTGCATCCCTGTTCTTCGTATGTTTTTGTCTCCAGGCTACATGTATGCATGCCGGCGCTCGCAGGCGCTCCCCCCAAACGCCGCAATCACACAGCCACGGGTGACACCAAGCATATATTTTATTGAAAGTCCAACTCATGACAAGGCAGTGAGTAGGGAGAGTCCCTATTCAGGTTTGTATAAGTCGCTGCTCCTGGTGGGTGAAGTTACAGATAAATAACGTTACATGAACAGACAGCAGTGGGCACTAATCGCTCAGCCCCAACTGAGCCGAGGCAGGCGGGCTGGCAAGCGGATGCGTTCACCAGGCACAGCAGGGACGGGGGGGGGACAGAGAAGAGAGCCGGGGAGGGGGTCTCCCGAGGGGCCTGCAGCCAGGCTGACCCTCTACCAGTGTCCTGAATTCGGCAATCAAAACTAGCGTGGGGCTCCTTGGTTCTCTGCAAATGGTGATGAGTGAAATAGTCCTGCGATGTTGCTCATCTCCCCCCCCCCAGAAGTGGAGCCCTCCCCCCAAAACAGGTGGACCCCCCATTTCCCCACTTCCACCAAGGAGCTGTGTGCAGAATTGCCCTCTGGGCTCCCAGCTGCCATGCAGCATGTGGGGTGCTATCTTGCACTCCCCCTAACTCAGCTGTGCCCCCCCTGCAGGTGAGAATTAACAGGAAACTGTGGGGGGGGGCAGTCCTGTGGGAAGTGATGGGGGGAGGTGTGTGCACACATACAGCCCCTCTTCCTAAAAAAACAATTTACCGAGGGGGGAGCCAGAGCAGCGAGGCCAAGCAGAGCGGGGAGGTGGGGAGCAGAAGGAATGAAGGGAGGCTGGCAGGTGGGAGCCCCTTCCCCAGACAAGCCTCCCTTGAGGGAGGGGCCCATCTACCCCCTCCCATCCCTCCCAGCCTTCCTTCCAGCCCAAACAAAGGACCTCATACAAAGGCCGTAGTTCTTGGGAAGCCCCCCCCCACGAACAAGCAGGAAAGCTATTCCTTCTCAGGGTCCTAGAGAGTCCTACAGCCCCCCCCCGTTTCCTCCCTGCGAAGCCCCTCTGGCTGCTCTCCTAGCCACGCTGGAGTGTGCTGGGGGGCGGGGGATAATTGGGGAAAGGGGAGAGGGGGAGGAGAGAGGACAAGATGCCCACCAGACCACCTGGGCCCCCAAGCCCCCAGTGCTGGGTCCCACTCGTGCAGGGAAGTCGTGGGCCCGGCTGCCTGGCGGGACTCAGGCTTCTGGGTCCGTCTCTCTGGAGGGGCGTGAAACCAGGGGGGGCTACCCTCCAGCTCACGTCCTACTCCAGGTAAATGTCTTCTGTGGGGCAAGCAAATTCAAGATGCTCCTGGTAGTATTCCTGAAAGGCGCGGCTACAAAGAGGAGGAAGAGCTGAGTTAGTACCCCTGGTCAGTGGGGGAGAAGGCCACCTATAGCTGCCTTCCCCCTCTTAGCTAGGAACCCCCAAGACAAAGGGGAGAGCGCACAGGTACGCCCACCTCCAGGCTCCCCTAACCCCCCCCCCTTCTTTGAAGGAGGCCAAACTCCCCCCCCCAGAGAGAACTTGGCCCAATATGTCCACAGGACCCCGGAGGGCCTCCCCCACAGAACCTGCTTTCACCCCCGCCAGCTGTGCCTCTTGGTGCCTAGCCCAGGCCAAGTCCCAGCAGTGTCCTGAGGCGAGGGGGGCTGCTGCTGCTGCTGCTATCCAGACCCTGCCTGGGGGAGGTGCCCTCTTTGGACTCAGGGTGTGAGGAACAGAATCGGTGCCCTATGGATCAGTCTTCCAGATCTCTCTGCACGCCCAAGATGCCCGGGACCCCGCCTCACCTCTCTACAGGGGCACAGCCATGTCCTCACGCGCCTTCGGCCAGCCCGCCCTCACTGCCCCTCCCCAGCAAAGGAGGGGAGGGGGAAGAATTGCTGCTCAAGTGTCTGCTCCCCCTTCCTGGCAGGACGAGACTGGGGGACGCGGGGGCCCTGGCACTTGGCCTGGCCACTTAGCGTCCATCTTGCCAATTAGGGTCCTCCCAGCTCGGGTTCCCCCAGCCCAAAGGTTGCTCTGCCCCACGGAGTTGGGGTGCCAGCCGCTGCTTTGGCCACTCTCTGCCTTCTTGGGTTGCACCAACATTGCCGCAGCAGGGCCTCCCCCCCCCACTTACCCGACACACTCGGCCACGGGCCGCATGGACTCCTGCGAAACGAAGACGTGGCAGGCAAAGCGACTCAGGACGGGGTGCTTGGTGATGAACCCAAAATAGCTGCGAGGGAAGACCAGCCGCGGTGAGGCCAAGCAGGCAGGGCGGCTGCCCAGGGCGGGGACCCCAGACCCACAAGAGGGCTCCAGTGGCCCATTTGCAAAGAGAGCTGCCCCCTGCACACTGGTGCACTTCCCTCCCTGGGGGGGGGAGAACCTGCCAGTTCAGGATGTGCCATCCCAAGCGGGCACCCCTTTCAGAAGGAGCCACTCACCAGCTATTGCGAGGGTGGCAGCCGCAGAAGGAGACGTTCTTCATCTGGAAGAAATGGCTGCAGCGCTCCAACTAGAAGGGAGGAAGGGAGGGAGGAGAGTGGCAGCGAGGAGGCAGCCGTGCCAGCCGCCCCTGACCAGCCCTGAGCAGCAGGGCATTTCCAGAGTCACTGCCACGTTCTGCCCATCTGACCTGGCCCTCTTGCCCACTCAGAGGCCTTGTGCCCCTGCGATCCGTGGAGCAAAACAGCCAGTCAGTGTGATGCCCCAAAGCCTTCAAAATAGTCCCCAGGATAATTCTGGGCACAGTCCTGCCTCTGCCCTGGCATCTCTGGGGCAAAGAGCTGGCAGAGAGGGGAGAATCCAGGCCATCAGTGGGGAGGGCAAAGAGCAGCTGGAGGCCACCACCACCCCCCATCAGGGAGGTTTTCCCCTCCTCTCCAGGGAACTGGTCTAGGGCTGGCCAGGGGCAGGGCGACGGGCGTTGCCCTAAGTCTGATCCTGCCCTCCCACCAGCCGGAGCACAATGGCTGCACCCACCTCCCTGCCAAGCCCTCCTGGCCTGGGTCCAGGTTGTGATGCAGCCCACTTCACCTGGTTAACAAGTTAACTAACATTTAGGGGTGATGGAAACAGAGTTTGCACAACCGATTAACACACACACACCCCAATCTCCCCAACCGAATTAACTCTTTCCTCTGAGCAGGTGAGGAGACGGTTCCTGCCTGTGGAAGCCAGGTAGAGCTGAGTCGGCAGCCACATGAGGCTGGACCCCCCTTCCAACAGCCCCCTCGCCCCCTCCCCATGGCAGACGCTCACCTCTTCATCCTGACTGTATTCGTTGACGGTCAGAATGAGCTTGATGCCTTGCAGACTGATTTCCAGGTCACAGGTGGCCGGAGGCCTCAGGTGGACGGTCAGCTTCCGCGTGGTGGCAATCTGCAGAGAGGCACAGCAGGGCAGGGCTCAGCCTTGACAGGCAGGAGACCCTTCGCAACAGGTTAACCTCAGCCTCTTCGCCAGGTGAAGCTAACATGGGGTTTAGGTCAAAGGATGGGCACCCAGGCTTGCCAGAGCAGGGAGCACCCGTGTTAAGCACCACGCAAGGGTTCCTTCCAGCACAGCATGGGTGACGCCATGGTTAGAATGTGGGATTGCAGGCTAATTCTGCCCACTGCCGGCTGCCAGCAGTTGGGCAGTTCAAGCCTGACTGGCTCAAAGTGGACTCCGCCTTCCATCCTTCTAAGGTTGGTCAAATGAGGACCCAGATTGTTATGGGGGGGGCAAGATGCTGTAAACCGCCTAAAGAGGGCTGTAAAGCACTGTGAAGCAGTATATAAGTCTAAGGCACTGGTTCTCAACCTTTCTAATGCCGCAACCCCATAATACAGTTCCCCATGTTGTGGTGACACCCAACCACTTATACATCACCGGGTGCCAGGGGCATGGCCAAAGAAAAGGGGAAAAAATGGCGGACAGCCTTGTTTGGCGACCCCCGTGAAATGGTTGTTCGACCCCAAATGGGGTCCCGACCCACAGGTTGAGAACCAATGGTCTAAGGCAGTGGTTCTCAACCTGTGGGTCGGGACCCCATTTGGGGTCGAATGACCATTTCATGGGGGTCGCCAAACCACGCTGTCCGCCATTTTTTTCCCTTTTCCCTAGCTGTCCTACTCCCTCTTATTGATGGCCACACCCACTTGGGGGTCACCACAACATGGGGAACTGTATTATGGGGTCACGGCATTAAAAAGGTTGAGAACCACTGGTCTAAGGGCTACTGCTACTGGTTCAGCACGTGGCCTCAAGCAAGCCATCATGTCAGCCGGAAGAAGAGAAGGATGGGCAGAAATGGGAGCCCAGCTGATTATTGTCTACGCACGAGGACTGTCACGATCGAACACCCAGATTCAAATCTCGGAATTCGCCGTGGATACTGGGATAGCAATTAGAGAAGATTCTGAGATAAGCCGGGCGCTAGGAATGGGCGACTTTTAACCCAGATCTGCTTAAATTGGTGCCTGACCCACTACAAGCCCCCCCCCCTGGCTCTGAGCTCCCGAGGAGAAGCTGGGGGGCGCTCAGCCAGACCCACAGCAGCCATGCCCGGTGCCAATATTGGAACTCCAAAGCAGGGCTTGGCAGATGATGCTGTGGGAACATGGCACAAACCTTGCCTCCGATTTGAAGGAAAGCCCACTCAGACAGCGCCCTGGAGCCCTGTAAGAACCCCATCGCCTCAAGGGCAGTGCTGCCCAATGGCTAAATGGTCTAAATATCCGGCCATAGGCTTAGCCATTCTAGTAACCGCTCATACATAATTTAATTTTATTCATAATTTTATTCATAATTCATATTGGGCGTTTTTAAAATAATTCACTATAATCCCAAAGGTGCTTATTCAAAAGGCAGCTGAACTTTCTTGGTTTTTCCTTGAAGACGTTTCACTTCTCGCCCAAGAAGCTTCTTCAGTTCTGGAGAAGAACCGAAGAGGTTTCTTGAATGAGGAACAAAATGTTTTCCAAGAAAAAAACCAAAAAAGTCCAGTGGTCTTTTGAGAAAGACCTTTGGGACAACCAGGACCTGGATGACCGAATCTCCACAGAAATTCAGTGTAATCGTGTTTTATATTTTGTTTTTTGTGAATTTTATGCCCTAATGCTGTACTCTGTTACCCCATACGAAATAAATAAAATTTCAGAAGCTGGAAGAAGGCTGCTGGGTGGTCTGTGAACGTGGCTGTTATGCTACACCGACTCTTGCTTAGGGTTGTGCAGGCGCAGACGTGCAAAGGCAGCCCTGGTGCGCGCGCACACACACACACACACACACACACACACACACACCTCAGCACCCCACAGGGCTCACCTTCTGCATGGCTGCACACAAAATGCCGTTGCCCTGGTGGTAGGGCACCTCCACCGAGCCCAGAAACTGCACGTTGAAGTGTTCCACCCAGCAGGGATTCCGCTTCAGACCTGCAAGGAGCACCCAGCGTCACACCTGGCTGGCCTCCTGTGGTGACGCTTTCCCCCCCCCCCGCACCCCCCAGGAGGACCACGCCAAAAAGGGGGATGAGTCTGGAAGAAGCCTGGACTTCTCTGGAGGGGGCTACGGAGCCCCGCTTTGTGCCTTTTCCCACCATCTTCATCTCCTTAGGGACCTCTGGAGCATCAACTGAAAGGATGGAGGATCCCCAGGCCCCCCCAAGTCTTCATCCTGCTTTGCAATGCTGCGTTTTTAGACTGCAAGATCCTCGTGGCAAAGGCCTAGGTTTCCACCTCACGTCATGTACTGAAAGTGCCAAAGTTATGGATTTGGGACTTAAACAGGAGCCAGCCGTGTGTGGTGGCAGCCAAAAAAGCTAATACGATCCTTGGTTGTATAAACAGAGGCACAGACTCAAAATCGCGTGAGGCGTTAGTGCACTTTGTAAAGTGAGGCCACTCTGCAAGGCCCACCATGGGCAGCCCCAGAGGAAGGTTCTCCCCCTTCGTCCTGCCCGTCCCCTGCAGCGTACCTGCCACGTCCCTGGCCTGGCTCACCACCTCGTGCGCATAGAAGGCCGGGAAAATGCCACGCTCCCCCGTGCGCATGTTGTAGCCCCGGTACCAGTAGTCGTCCTCCTCCAGCTCTACCAGGATCGGGTCGTCCACGTCCAGCTCCAGCTCGTCTTCGTGACGAGGGATGAACCTGGAAGGGAGAACAGCCACCGGGGGGGGGGATTTCAGGAGAGCTGCACAACTGTAGCCCCCTGGCCCCACTTGCCTCCTCCTGTGGGGCCAGCTGGCCCCCTTGCTCCTCTGTGCTCCTGGCCGACAGCCATTAACGCCAGCGTTCCCCAAGGTGCTTTTTCCCAGAAGGCATCAGGGCTTTCTTGGAGTTTTTCCTTGAAAATGTTTCGCTTCTCCTTCAAGAAGCTTCTTCAGTTCTAACTGAAGAACTGAAGATAGAACTGAAGAAGCTTCTTGGACGAGAAGGGAAATGTTTTCAAGGGGAAAAAACCCCAAGAAAGTCCTTTTGGGGGGGGGAAAGCACCTTTGGGACAACCATGACCCAGATGACGGAGACTCTCCATCGACGTTTGAGACTGACGCTCCACACGCCCACCCCCTGCATGGTGAATAAAGACCTCTTAAAGGAGACGTCAACTGACACCAGGCCAGCCCAATGGACAGCGGAAGGAAAGACACCCTGCAGGTGGCCAGAGAACCCTCCCAGGCGTTGCGGCTATACCCGGGAGGTGGTCAGAGGGGCACTTGGCTCCAGGGCCTGAACTTCTTCACGGGGCTTCTGCCTTCCCTCACTGCCCCCCCCCCCAACTGCCTGCCCTGGATGAGTCCGGGAGGGGCGCAGCTCACCTGAAGACGGCTCGGTGGGTCTGTTCACGCTCCTCTCCGTTCACCATGCAAGAAAACAGGCCGAAGGATTCGGTGCCTGGGGGCAGAGAACGCATCGCTGGAGAAGCCGAAGCAGAGGAGAGGGGGAGGGGGGATGGCCGCTCAAGGGAGGGGGGAGACAGGGCGGGGGAGGCCACCAACCTCCCGGAGGACAAAAACCCATCACCCAGGTACAGCTCAGCCAGCAAAATAAGTTGGAGGAGACAGCAAAGATTAGAGTCTTTGAGAGCAAAGAAAGTACAGGAAGTCCTCGATTTATGACCACAATTGAGTCCAAATTTCTGTTGGTAAGTCAGACAGCTACTGAGTTTTTGCCCATTTTACGACCTTACAACCTTTCTTGCTTGAAGTGATTCACTGCGGTTGTCAAGTTAGTCACATGGTTGTTAAGTGAATCTGGCTTACCCTGGACTTTGTTTGTCAGAAGGTCGCAAAAGGGGACGCTGCAACCGTCACAAATATGAGCCAGTTGCCAAGCATCTGAATTTTGATCCCATGACCACGGGGATGCTGCGACAGTTGTAAGTGTGAAAAATGGTCATAAGTCACATTTTTCAGTGATGATGCAACTTTGAACTGCCACTAAACGAATGGCTGCAGGTCGAGAACTATCCGCGTGTCCAAAGGAACTGGGGCGGTGGGGGGATGCAGCGGGGGCTGTTCCAAGCTCCACTTCCCTCCCCATCCCTCCCTCCCGTCCGACACTTACTTGAGGAGCGGGAGGTGCTGTTGACAAAGACGTTGAGGAACTTCTTGGAGAAGTGGAGGTCGGCCTCCGGGGAGGAGTCCTCTGAGGAAGAGCTGCGCCCATCGGGGGCCACCAGCCCTTCTCCAAAGTCGCTCGCAGCGTCCTCCGGGTCGGTGGCGTCGCAGGCACGGAGCAGCTCGCTGTCGTCGCTCAGCACCGAAGTGCAGCGCTTGAGGCTCACCAGCTCCAGCTGGGTGTTCTCGTCCACGACCAGGGTGTACTTGACCGAGTCGTAGGCCAGGGAGTCGTCTAGCATCATGGCGGGTGGGGGGAGGGAGAGCTCCTCGGCAAAAGGAGACCCTTTCAGGCTGCCCAAGCAGGGCACACCGTCTTCCTCGGGGGAGTAGGACAAGCTGAAGCAGCGATTGGTCTTGGCGGTGGAGACATCCAGGCCTTCCTTGGGCTCTAACCGGATGTCGTCAATCATATCATTGTCCTCCAAGATGCCTGAGTCCAGGTCCCCATCGATAGCACAGTCCTTCTCCTTCTCCTCCTCCTCCTCCTTGCCGGGGGGCTCCCTGGGGGGGAAGGTTTTGGGGGCAACAGGGTTGACACAGCAGCCGGAGTAGGGCCGTCCTGGGAAGACGGGTGCGATGACATCGTTGGTGGAATTGCTCATGAGCAAGTAGGGCCCCCTGTTCCCTGCCTGAGGCCCCTTTCCCACTGCAGCCTGGGCCTCCAGCGGCTTTGCCTCTTCAGCGCCCTGCAGCGAGCAGCGCAGCGTCTCCATGTCCACCAGCTCGATGCTCTGCTGGGAGCAGGGCTGGGCGTCATTCAGGGCCTCGCTGGGCAACTCCGGCTCCAGGTCGGAGGCCGGAGAAATCGTATCGGAGAGGGAGTGAGCTGCCGGGAAGCATTCGTCGGCACACTTGATGGGATAGGAGCCCTCCGAGATCATTTTGTTCACCAGGTTGCTAAGCAGCCAGGGGGAGTCTGAATCCTCACTCAGATCCGGTTCTGACTCCGAGTCCGATTCAGAATCATACTCGCTGTTCCCTTCCTCTTCCGCCCCGTCGCGCAGGAGTTGACGCCCCACCGGCAGGTAGAAGGACCGTCGCAGGCTCTCCAGACTGTGGTCGGGGTTGATCTCCAGTTCCAGACAGCCCGAAGGAGGCAACTCGGCCTGGTCAATGGGTACCGAGGGGTCTTCGTAGAGCTCCTCTATTTTGAGTGGGGCCAGGCTCTCATCTGCAGGAAGCTGCGTGCCCTCCTCTTCCTTCTTGGCACCCAGCAGGAGGGCACCCTTCAGGCCCATCACACCCGGGGCTTCCAGGTCAGCCTCCAGGTCGGCCTCGGAGCCCGGAGAGCTGGCCTCCTCGATGGAATTGGTGAGGTGGGAGGAACGGCCGCTGCTGCTCTCGCTGCTCAGGTCCAGCTCTGTTTCGGAGATGCTGGAGATCATGTTGCTGGCCAAGCGACTCCCACTGGATGCAAAGGCTGCCTCGATTTCCCCCTCCACATCAGAGTCGGAGCTGGGGGAGCTGAGGTCCCCGCTGTGCTGGATGCATGGGTGGAAGGCCTTGGAGGTCCGGCTGGTGAGATCGGCCTCTATGCCGGGGTCCGAGGAGGGAGACGTGGTATCGGAGGAAGCAGAGGGCAGCCCTCCCAAAGTGCCCTCTCCCTCAGAGCTCAGTGGGGCAGCCACTTCTCGTACTGGGCTTGCGTGGGATACTAAGGAATGGGTCTCTCTGGGCGTACTGTCCCCAGGGCGCTTGGCAGGCTCATCCTGAGAGAGTGGGGCACGGAGCCCACCCACAGGGGATCTGTGTCCTGCTGGGTCCCCAGCCAAGCCGGCTCTCTCCTCTTTCTCCTGGCATGCCACAGCATCCCTCTGAAACTGGGCACAGTAGCTCTCTGTGGCAGGGGACCTGTGAGGGCTGCAACTGTGGGGCTGGGAGGCCGAACTCAGGGGTGGAGGGCTGCTCCGAGCTTCAGGAGGCTTCCCAGATGCTGCGCTGGTCAAGACAGAGGGAGGTTGCGGGTTGGCGTCACTGGAGACAACGTTCATGTTATAATCCTCCCCCCCAGGGAGGCCTCTCTGCAGACCCTGGCTATTGCCTTCGGCATCAAAAAGTGGGGGCTTGCAAGGGGCCTGGGACAGAGCCGGCCCTTTGCTGCTCTGGACGTCCCTGCAGGGTCCATCCTGGAGACAGGCGTGTAAGGGAGACGGTCGCTCTGCGGAGGAAAGCCAACAGCTCCGTTTAGGCCTTGAAAAACTGAGCCACCATTTTACGTTCTTAATACAAGTCTGGAAACTGAATCAAAGGCAGCGTCCTGATCCTACGAGAGTCAAGGGGATTTTTTTTCCCTTTTCCGACCAAAAATAAAGGGACATGTCAGCATGATACAATGGGACTCTCCAGCCCGTGTCTTTAATCTGGTAGACCAGGGGTTCTCAATCTTGGCAACTTTAAGACTTGTGGACTTCAACTCCCAGAATTCCTCAGCCAGCTTTGCTGGCTGAGGAATTCTGGGAGTTGAAGTCCACAAGTCTTAAAGTTGCCAAGGTTGAGAACCCCTGTGGTAGACGGAGACCTGAAATCTCCTTAACGCAGTTCAGTGCCCTCCTCCCCCGATGGCTGGAAGGGGAGGAAGAAGGGCAGGGGAGGGTTCTGCCCCTCCCCCCACTGACCCCCACCTCAGCTCTGATCGAAGGCACCTGCTGAATTCGGGCTAGGCACCCCGCCAGAGCAGGGTATCTCCCTCCTGGCAAATGGGGGCGCAGCAGGGGAGTGGTTGCTCAGCTTCAACCCCCCTTGCCTTTTCCAGGCCAGACCCCCCCCACACACACACACACTTCTGGGGGTCTCCCAGTGGGGAGACAGGAGAATTAGATCAACTGGTGGGGAAGGATTTACTCATTGTGAGCCGCTTTGTCTTTTCAAGGGAAAAAGGGTTGAAATCTTTGTTTCATGTTAAAAATGTTTCTCAAACAATCGCTTGATGCTTGTTCCTCTCTCCAATGAGGGCTGTTCTGGGGGGGGGGGGTTGTGCCCCCTCTGCACCAGGACTTTTTGGGAAAACTCCCCACCAGATTGGAAGGTTTACGCAGAATTGCATTGAGCAGGGCACGAGGGAGCCAAGCCAAAAGCCCCCCCTTGACCTCTGGGTCTTTGGTTCCCTAGAAGAAATGGAAGGACTCACCTGCGTGGGAGATGGAGGAAGAGGAGGAGGAGGAAGAGGAGGAGTGCAGCAGAGTCTCTTGCCACGTGGCCCGCTGCAGAGGGGGGGCCATGTTGCACCCGCCGCTGTTGTTGTTCAGGGAGTCCTGTCATGGGGGGGGGGAGAAGAGAGCAACTCAGCGGGGCAGCTTTTAAGGGGAAAATCCCCAGTTTACGTCTAGCCAGCTTGGCACAGCTGTCTTCAAGGCCCGGATCAGAACCGGGCAGAGTGGCAGAACTGGGACTCCATGGAAGCTGATATTGTAAAGGGGAGAACAAAACCACCAGTGGGCATCACCTCCCGGGATGGACGCAAAGGCATCAGCGGGTGGGCAACAGCCGACTCCATTTTATTTATTCCATTTTATTTACCATACCACCCATCCCATTTCAAAGCAGCTCTCTTGCTGAGTCTGGGCTGGCCCCTGACATCTTGCAGCACTTTTAAATGTAGAGTTTAAATCTTTGATGGACTCTAATGTCATGCTATAGAGTTTCTCCAGCTTTGGGTTTTTATCTTCGGAGTCGTTTTGGTTTTGAATGACATTATGATTTTAGCCTTAAGACTGGGATTATAAGAGCCGAGGTTGTGCGGCAGTTAGAGTGCAGTACTGCAGGCCACTTTAGCTGACTGTGTTCAGCAGGTCCGCGGTTCAAATCTCACCGGCTCAAGGTTGACTCAGCCTTCCATCCTTCCGGGGTAGATAAAATGAGGACCCAGATTGTTGGGGGCAATGTAAATATATATATACATTGCTTACTGGTGTACACCGCTTAGAGAGTGCTCGCACTTAAAGCGGTATATAAGTCTCATAAATAAATAAATAAATAAATAAATTATCCCAGGAAATATAGGGGACGCCAAACTTTATAAGTCTTAAAGCTGCAAGTTCGGAGACGTTTGTGCTAGAATATTATCTACAGCAGGGGTCCTCAATCTTGGCCACTTTAAGACTTGTGGACTTCAATTCTGGGAGTTGAAGTCCACAAGTCTTAAAGTAGCCAAGGTTGAGGACCCCTGATCTACAAAATTGACATCTAGCAGGTAACCCAAGATGATGTTCCATCTATTTAATCTGCTGCTTCTCTGACTGCCTCTGTTTGATGCAGCTCTTGGAGGAGAAAAAAGGATGGATTGACTGAACTGCTGACCCTCAGGCACCGTTGATTTTAAGCCAATTTTCTAAAGTTCCTCATGGCGTGCTCCATCCCCAGTCATCCCCAGTCAGCATACAATGCTGTTCTTATTTCTTTGTTTATCTAACAACTTCCACAATCTATCATTACATTTGGGAATTTAAGACATGTTGGTATGGCAACTGCCTTGCTTTTGCACCAATTTTATCCTTCCTTTTTTTAATACTGTTTTTATAAATGTCTTTCCCAAATCACTGGATCCTCACCTCGTCCTTCTTGTGACGGTACCGTTTTGATACCATTTTGATTTAGCTACAATTACAGGGCAGTCCGTCCCTCATGACTGGGCCAATTGCTCAAATTCCTTTAATCAGAAATTTCCTCCTCAGTACTGATGTGGGGTTAGAAAGAAGCTGCTGCTTAGTCAGTTTTGTGGCTTTAATTACTGGGTTCTTTTAATAATTATTTTTCCCTTTCTAAATGCTAGGTCTCCACCAAAGGCTGGGTCTTTGTACAACAAGGGAAGTAAAGAAAAGAAATGAGTAACTTCCCCCTTGCAGAAAAAGTGGGTATAAACATGTACTCAAAGGAGTTATCAGGAGAAAGACAGCCATCTGCAGGAATCCATCAATATTCTAACCAAATCACGGCAGCAAATCTGGAGAACAGCGCAGGGGTTCTCGCTGACCCATTGAAAGAGTTCAATCTACATTTCAATACCAAAAGGGGAGACTTAACAGAACCTGCAAACATACTTAATTTCAAATGCTTGCAAAATAATGTTCAGGATCAACTAAGTAGATTAGAGCCCTCCATGAAAAGGGAAATAACCAGATGTTCAGGCTGGACCAGGTGGACCAAGTCCAGTTCCATATTTGCCCCATCACCTGTGGTGGTTAACCTGGACTCCTTGCAGCTGACCAGTCTTCTAGCTGCTAAGAGGGAGGGGATCAGCTCTTTCCCCCCCTCCCAGCATTTGATTGGGGGCGCCCAGAAATTCCCTCCTGCCTCCTAGGAAGGCTTAGCATGAAAATGGAGCTTGGGGGGGGGGGCCTGTCTGAAACCAGCTGAAAGTCAACATATTGGCAGATTAGAAACTCAGAGGGGGGGAGCCTTAATCTCGGGAGGGGGGGGATTAGTGATGGGCCTGTGACATCAACAGAGGAACAACGGCTCAAAAATCCCGCAGGAGCTTAAGCAGAAATTGATTATTAAACAATGAACCACTTGATGAAAACCGCGGCTGTGAAGCAGAGGCCTCGCCAGTGGGGGAGGGGCTCCTTCCCATCAGTTAAATGGAGCCCTGCAGTGCACGAGTGAGTGACCATTTGGGCTCAGCGCAGAGGTCAAGGACGGCAGGAGAGCCTGTCTCCCCTCCTTGGAGTTCCCTGAAGGTGGGCACCTCCCGTACAGCTGTCCTCGTGGCCTGGGACTCTGGCAGGCTGCCCGCTGCCTCCGGTGCCCGTGCAGGTGACCTTGGCCAGGCCAGCCGCTTCGGCTGCCCACCTGACACCCATCCTGTGGCCGGCTGCCCGCCTGGGGGCCTCTGCTGGCATCCCTGCACGGTCAGTCTCTTGGCAGAGAAAGCCGCCCCCCCCCCAGGAAGTCGCTCCCCGCAAGGCTCCATTGAACCCATGGGCAGGAGCCCCTCCCCCACCCCCTCCCCCACTGACGATTCCTTTTCATCAAGGGCTCATCGTTTAAAAATCAGTTTCTGAAAACTAGACGGAGTGCCCCTTTGCTAGGCGGGGTACAGGCTGCCTGGAGGCCCCACCCTCAGTGGTCCCGCCAAGCCCAGTAAATGCAGCTGGACTTAGAGCCAGCTGGGCAGCCCCAGTTGGTTTAACAGAGTTGGAAGGGACCTTGGAGGTCATCTAGTCCAATCTCCTTCTCTTTCACAGGAGACCCTATACCATTCCAGACAAATGACTTTTCTTGAAAACCTCCAGTGATGGAGCACCTACAACTTCTGGAGGCAAGGGGTTCCACTGGTTAATTGTCCTCACTGTTTAGGAAGTTTCTTCTTAATTCCAGGTTGCTTCTCTCCTTGGTTAGTTTCCGTCTGTTGCTCCTTGTCCTGCCTTCAGGGCTTTGGAGAATAGCTTGACCCCCCTTTTTTTGTGGCAGACCCTCAAATACTGGAAGACTGCTGTCATGTGCCCCCCCCCAGTCCTTCTCTTCATTAAACTGGACATCCCCAATTCCTGCAACCGTTCTTCTTCGTATGTTTTCACCTCCAGTCCTCTGATCATCTTTGCTGCTCTTCTCCGCCCTCTTTCAGGGGTCTTTTTGAACATTGGCATCAGGAGCCCCCTGCCCACCATCCAGCCCTCGCCCCCCCGACACCTCCTGCCTCCCCCTGCCCTTTGCCCCACGGGGGACTGCAGCTGCTTCCTGGGGACGCCTGCAAAGGCCGGGCAGGGCGCCCCCTCCTCCCGAGGGCCAGAGCGTGGAAGGGCTTCTGGGGAGCCTCCCGCAGGAGCCCTGCGGACTCAGCCTCCCGGCCTCGGTTTCTCTTTGCTGGCCCTGAAGCGCTCCACATTCTGCCAGGGCGGGAGGGCGCTGCCTCCTTCGGCCACCTACCCGCCCTGCGTCTTCTGGCATGCTTTATTCATGAGGCAGAAAGGCTGCTGGAGCCACACTGCCCGCTAAGTGGGGCAGGCGCCTCCCGGAGACGCCCTGAGCAGCCCCCCCCCATGGAGGCCCTCAGCCCAGGCACCCGCCGGGAAGAGTTCCCCCCCCCAAGCAACCTTTCTGTTGGCCTGATGTATTGGGCAAATTTCCCTCTCTTTGTACAGGTAGTCCTCGACTTACGACTGCCATTAAACCCCAAATTTCTGTTAAGTGAGTTTTGCCCCATTTTATGACTTTTCTTGCCACGGTCGTTAAAGGAATCACTGCAGTTGTTACGTTAGCAACGCAGTCGTTAAGTGAGTCTGGCTTCCCCATTGACGTTGCTTGTCAGAAGGTCACAAAAAGAGGTCCCGTGTCCCCACCCAGACGCTGCGACCGTCCTAAGTACAGGCTGGTAGCCAAGCGTCCGAATTTCGATCCATGTGACTGTGGGGACGCTGCAACGGTCGTTCAGTGTGAAAACAGGCCCTAAGTCGCTTTTTTCAGTGCCACTGTAACTTCAGTCACTAAACGAACTGTCGTAAATCGAGGACTGCCTGCATCGGAGCCTCCTGGCTTCCCATCCCAAGCTCCGTGCCGGATGCGCCTCTCAAACTCGGACGGGTCTGCAATGACCCAGCTGCCCCCCCCCTTTCTGAGAACAAAGCTGCTTTTCCCAGGGCTGCAGCTCTCTCGGCCTTAGTCCCCCCCCCCGCCAGGAGCCCCCCCCCCGGCCTGGCTGTGCAAAGCCTGGGGGACAGCCTCACCTGGGTGCTTGTGACGGTCAAGTTGAGGGTGGTGGGACGGATCTTCTGGGTGTCCTCGGGGGAGGGCGAAGGTATCAGCAACCCCGAAGGGGAGGGGGGTGCCTCTTCCAGCCCCTCCTCCTCCTCCTCTTCCTCTTCCTCCTCTTCATTGTCATCGATCATCTCAAACTCCTGGAAGTCTTCCTGGAAGGTGCAGATGGGGTGGGGCTGCTCCCCCCTGCCCAGCCCCAGGCAGTCCTGGATGGAAGCAAAGGCAGATGGTGGCCGTGGGGAGGAGCAGGCTTTCTGCCCCCCTCCCCCCCCCACTGGGGGTCTCCTGGGAGGTTGGGTGGAGGCCACTCATGCATGGATGGGAGATCCTCCCCACCCCCATGGAGCAAGAGGCAAGCAGCAAGGTTGGGCAAGGTGAACCGTGGGGTCCTCCAGTGTAAAATGACAGGGGCAGACACCCCCCTTGCCATACCCCTCACCCGCCGGCTCCTCCCACCTTCTCGTTGTGATCCGAGTCATAATTCAGGCCGATGCCGCAGTCGTCTGTGATCTCGGACAGGTCCTCGTCGTCAAATTCTTCCAGGCTGATGTCCTGGGGGGGTCTGCAAGGAGAGCACGAGGAGACCCCCATGAGGACTGGAAACCTCAACCGCCTCCTCCCCCTCACCTACCAAGGGACTCACTGAGCCTGGAAAAACAGGCGGCCCTTTGCTCTCCTTCTTGCAATTAGCCTTAATTGCAGCAGCTGAGCCGGTGGAGGAGGGGGAGGGGGAGCCCCGTTCTCCTTCCTCCCCCCCCCCTTGGGGGGACCCCAGAGTCTCTTTTGCTGGAGCAGAAACTCTCCTTGGGCATCTCCTCACCTGCCCTTGCTACCTTCTATGGAGCACCGAGAAGTTCCCCCCATAACCAAAAAGGAGAACTACTTCTTGCTGGGGGGGGGGAGAGCCAAATGTGCTAATTCCCCCCACCTGTAGGAGCCCCTGAAGCACGCAATCTGGGGGAAGCCCACCAGGGCGGAGAGGCTGGTCCAGCAGTGGAAGAGTTAAGCAACTTGATGGGAATGTGGTTGTTATGGAAACCGGGCCTTTGAAAGCCAGAAATGCTGGCCTAATCTATACATTCAAATCATGTAACCGAGATGGAAAGCCAGGACTGCAGCAAAAGCCCCACCCGCCCAAGGTGGCTGGAGGGGGCCAGAGGCCCCGAGAGGCCCATGCCTTGCTTGGAGGAGGCTGGGCAAGCCCAGGGCCTCTCCAGGAAAGGCTCCACCGGAGGCCTTCAAGGGGTGAGGCAGGCCTAGCCAGTCTGGCTAGCCCAGGGGTAGGCCACCTTGGCTCTTTTATGACTGGTGGACTTCAACTCCCAGAATTCCTGAGCCAGCATGTTGAAGTCCACCAGTCATAAAAGAGCCAAGGTGGCCTACCCCTGGGCTAGTCTGTGGTCTTCGGTGCTGGCCAAATGCAGAGGGCGGACGGGCCAGTTCAGCACCCTGGGGAGATGCCTCTGGAGGCACCAGCCCTGCCTGGGAAGGGGGCTGGCCCCTTGGGGCTCAGGGGCTGCCCGGAGAGCCTTAAGGGCTGCCTCTCACTCGGTGGGTCTTCAGCTGAGATCCGAGGGGTGGAGGACAAGCCGCAAGGAAGCCACAGACTCTATCAAGGTTTCCCTTCCCTGGTGCCATGCCGGCCTGAAGGCCCCAATCCCAGCCCCCTGGCCACAGAGGACAGCTGGACGAGGAGGGCACGGAAGTCTGGCAGAGCCCCCTCCCCTCCCCAATCCCAATGAAAGGAGCCAGCAGCTGGCAGAGTCCAGACCTGGTGCTTGGGCAAGGGGACCTTTCCTGCCCAGCCCTGCCAGGCTACTTGCCAGCCCACCCGGTAGGGGATCTTGTCCATGAGCTGACCCAGCACGGCTAGCCCTCTGGACGTCTTGCCCTTTCCGGAGGCAGTGGTGGGGCTCATGACGGCCCTCTCCTCCCATGGGTGGGGAGACACACACCTCCAGGCCGAGCTCTGCTGGACCCGCCCAATTGTGAGCAACACAGCTGCAGCCCTGCCGTTGTCTTCTTCTGCAGTTTTATCCTGCCTGGCTGTTCTGGCCACTGACACCATTTTCAGAGCTCATTGTTGCTGGCAGACAGAGGTGGGCAAGAGTCGCCCCCTGCCCCCAAACTGCCACCTCAACGAAGAGCATCTCCCTCGTGGCCGGGGTCTTTTCTGCCTCCATCTTCCCGGCAATTCCCCCACCAGCGCTAACCTGGCAAACCCTGGGATGTCTGCCTCATCCAGACCCTAAAAAGCAGGATGAGGTCATCCCAGTTACTAGCAATTAACGTTTTCAACATAATGTGGCTCTTTTGCTGTCCATACTTAGACATGTCATCATTTTTCCATGCCATGCCCTTCACACGACTCTGAAGGGCTTGGCAGGTGTGCAGGGAGGCCCAGAGAGGGCCGCCCTTTCGTCCCCAGGATAAATGATGGCCTCCGGGTCATCCCTGGAGGGTCAGGTGAGGAAGCAGCACCAGCCACGGGGTCAAGGCAAGCAGGAGCCGGAAGGAGAGGCCGCTTCAGGCTTCAGCTGGGAGGTTGTGGATCTGCGTCCAGCTCCGGATAGGCACCCGTTGCCTTCAGGCACTCAAGGATGATTTGGCTGCCTATCCAGTGGGCGGTGCCAACGTGTGTCTTGCCATGAGCAAAACGCCTTCAGTGGGGCAACCTCAAGCAGGCAGGAAAAGGGTCTCCCTGAAACTAGGCTGCATTAAGAGATCATGTGAAGTGTTAGTACGGCTTTACAAGGCCTTGGGAAGGCCACACTTGGAATCCTGCGTCCAGTTTTGGTCACCACAATGTAAAAAAGATGTTGAGACTCTAGAAAGAGTGCAGAGAAGAGCAACAAAGATGATTAGGGGACTGGAGGCTAAACAGTTGCTGGAATTGGGTATGTCTAGTTCAGGGATAGGCAACCTTGGCTCTTTTATGACTCATGGACTTCAACTCCCAGAATTCCTGAGCCAGCATGGCTGGCTCAGGAATTCTGGGAGTTGAAGTCCATGAGTCATAAAAGAGCCAAGGTTGCCTATCCTTGGTCTATTTTAATGAAGAGAAGGACGAGGGGGGACATGATAGCAGTGTTCCAGTACCTCAGGGGCTGCCCCAAAGAAGAGGGAGTCAAGCTATTCCCCAAAGCGCCTGAAGGCAGGACAAGAAGCAACGGATGGAAACTCATCAAGGAGAGAAGCAACCTTGAATTTCCTGATAGTGGGAACAATTAATCACTGGAACAGCTTGCCTCCAGAAGTTGTGGGTGCTCCAACACTGGAAATGTTTAAGAAAAGCCATTTGTTTGAAATGGTAGAGGGTTTCCTGCATGAACAGGAGGTTGGACTAGAAGGCCTTCAAGGTCCCTTCCGACTCTGTTAAACTGAGGGGGATAAAAAAGCCTCAGGGGTGATGGGCATTCACTCTTTAGCAGGAGTGGCTTTGTGAGATCCTGGAAATATTTTTAAATTATTCACTCACTCATACTCTAAACATCCTGAATTGAATTTGAAATACAGGAAGTCTGTTGGGTGCATTAACGGCAGAGCTTGATCTGGTGGAGTTGCTGGGCCCTCAAACAACCTCCCCAGTTGTCCTTCCAAGTATCCCATCCTGGGGGGAGGGAAGCACCCACCCACCCCCAAAGACACTGGCCAGGCCCCACCCTGCTTCTCCGATTGCTTTCTGAGGCTGGGTGGTTCTCCTGCCCCTTTTACGAGGCTGGCAATGCGTTGGAACCACTTAAAAATAAATGCTCTCCTTTGCAAAGCTGAGTGCTCATCCTGAAGGTTTAACTGATGCTGAAATGAGGTCCTTGAATCATTGCCAGATCTACACAGTTGCAAAACAAAGATGTGAGTGGCCATGTGCAGAGTGCCCTCACCACTCGTACTGCCCTTCTCCGTGTCTCCTGCCGGAGGGAACCCAGAGACCAGCAGCACAGCAGGGAAAGGGACTGGGGGATTCAGAGGAAGGGGACCTGCTCTTGTGGGGCCACCTGAAGTCTGGCCTGGCCAGAGGGACCTTCCTTGGGGTGTCTGAATACAGCGTAGTAGAGAGTTGGAAGGGACCTTGGAGATCTTCTAGACAGCATATCAGGGGGTGTCCAACCTTGGAACTTTAAGACATGTGGACTTCAACTCCCAGAATTCCCCAGCCAGCATTGCCAAGTTTGGAGACCTCTGGAGAAGAGCAGGGTAGATCCAGACTCAGTTCTTGGAAGACCTCTCTGGTTGACCCCGTTGCTCAGCCCAGCTGGGCCTCCCATGTGGCTTTAGCCAAGGTCAGGGGGGGGGTGACCTGCTCAAGGGCACGATAGGAACAGGGCCAGCTGGTTCCTGGCTGGAGTGGAGACAGCTGCTCTCCCCGTAGAGGAACTGCTGCGTTCATTCTCCTCCTTCTTCTTTCCTGCACCGGCCAAGATGGTGGCTGTATTCTGAGCAGCCACTTGGAGGGAGGAAGGAAGGAAGGAAGGAAGGAAGGAAGGAAGGAAGGAAGGAAGGAAGGAAGGAAGGAAGGAAGGAAGGAAGGAAGGAAGGAAGGAAGGAAACCCAAGCAGGTTGAAGCTTCCCTTGTGGGACCAATCCCCATTTCTGACCTGGGGTGAATTCCTAGGGTCCGCTACGCCATTTCCTGAGCATGTAAGACGTGGTCCAAGATCCCGCAAAGTCCTTGGCACTTATGAGCCCTTGTGATCTGAGTATGTGATCAGGTTTCACAATTTTATTTTTTCCCGTTCACTCACTCGCTCCTTTCCATCATCCTATTAACGTTGCATATTTTAACCATGCATAGAGGACGAAGGGATAATGGGCTCCGGGGGCCGTCCCTGCAACTGTCTTAAGATGGCAGAAAGGAGAAAGGGAAGGACAGCTCAGCCCTGGGAGCCCAGCAAGTGCCCCCTTCAAAATGCTTCCGCTTGATTCTGGGAGGGGGGGGCCAGACGGCCGCCAACCTCCCAGGCGTTCTTGTGGCTTCTGCTTCCCATCCTGGCCTACCTGAAAAGCCGACAAGAGCCCTGATTGACAAGAGCTGCGGCATCCTCTGCAATTCTCACAACAAAGAAGTTCAAGTGAGCCACGGACTTTGAGCCAATGATAAACAGGACTTAAGCTTTGCACAGTTGCTTATGTCTGAAAACCCACAAAATCAGCCACAGCTGCAATTTTATTTGCTGAAACCTGCCTTCCTCGGCCATTGCTCCAAAGGTTCAGAGCAAACACTGAGTTGGGAGCGCCAGGGACCGGTCCCTGGGGAGATGGCAAAGCCGCTTTTGTCTGCTGTGCCCCTGTCGAGTGGACACAAAGCCATCTGCTGCGCTGCTGCAGCTTCACGGCAGCCTTGACCCCTCCTGACTAGCTTCAGGGACAAGAGGAGGGGCCCTTCCCAGGCCCACCTGCAGCTGTCATGGAGAGGCCCTGGGCACACTGGCACAGCGCACGTGAGCCAGCGGGTCTCCACCTTAGAATCTCCGGGGGGAGATCCTCTGTTTGCTTAGGCCAGTGTTTCTCAACCTTGACAATGTTAAGGCATGTGAACTTCAACTCCCAGAATTCCACAGCCAG